GTTCCTTCCAGCTTCCTGTCTGCGTGACTCTGCCGGCTCCTTCTCAGATTATCTACCCTGTGCACATTCATGCTTAACGGAGGTTACAGACCACAGCGCTCCGCAGGATGATCCGTGATGAGTTACAAGAGACGGAAAAGCTGTGAATGAGACAGAACGGGAGGTGGCCAATAAGATCTCATCAGAGATAATCTCCATGACAAACAGGACACGAGAAGCAGGCCGGCTGTGAAGACCATGAATCAGAAGATCAGATTACAGCTTCCTCTCTGCTGTTTCCGCTCCATTAACTAATGGACGAGCACGTCGCAGCACGTTTGAACGATCGGGAATATTCCAGCAGGGCTGCAGCAGATTTAATGCAGCAGCTCGCTGAGGCGGAGGAAACAGCTGGAGTCAGATTTCAGGACACAGTTTATTCAGGAAACGTTTCTGAACCTGATCTGGAAAGTTCTGGATGGTCCCCGAGATGGAAAGTTTGTGACACTGAGGACATCCTCGTCCTGTCGTTCCTGCAGACGAGCACAACGCTCAGTCTGTGTGCACAGACTGTCATTGTTGCACTGCTGTGTGTCTGCAGGCTTCTGCTCCGTCTTTCTGCACACTTGCACTTTGTGTTGATTGTCACATGTAGCCCCGTGGTCTCGGAGGAACTGTGTACGGCCTCTTGACTCGATGAGGCAGCATACCGAGGCTCTGATAATCAGCAGAGACCCTGAGGTCAAAGGCCAACCCGCTGCTGCTGCTGAGTTTGTGCACTCAGTTGACGCCATCACTCAGCTGCACTACAGCTGTGTCGGTGCTTCTCTGCACAGTAAGAACAGAGACTGAATGAAGTTCCTGCTTTACAGAGCCAGAGCTAACCACGCTGAGCAGCATCAGCGGGTGAAAAGGTTAGAACAAAAGGTTGTAGCTCTTGGGTTGAGTACTGACCTGCCACGTTACCCTGGGGTCCAGTCCAGGCACCCAGCTCAGCTTCACAGGTGAGACTAACCTGTCTGACACCAAGATGTTTCCAAAAGGCTGAGGAGGAGAATCGTCCATCCAGCTGCTGACGGGCGTCCTGTTCTTATTTTAAAACCCCCCCCCATGTCGGTCAATGACAGCTGCTGAATGTGACGTGTGGCCGTCGGCGTGCTGCTCAGGATGTTGTTAGGATGATCTGGTTTCTCTCAGTCAGCCACACTGAGACGCGTGAACACGGGCTTGTTTAGGCCGCCAGTGTTGTAGGACTCCATGTTTCACTGAGCTGGCTGATGTGAGTCGCTGTGAGGTGGGACTTTCCAGTTTGCTGGCCGGACGAATTCATTGGAAGGCCACAGACGAGGAGCTGAATGAGTGAGTTCCTGAGGTGGGAGGTGGACACCGGGGAAACGGTAATGTTGGTGCGCTGGCTGCTGGTGTCAGGCTGGATAAACCTCTGAAGGTCCGTGGACGGGAACAGTAACAGCTGTGAAAGCGCAGCTTTAATCTGCTTTGATGTCACGGAGACGGTGTTTCATCAGGATGCAAAGAACGAGGCCGGAGCGCACGATGCCAAACAGCTGCAAAGAAGTCGGTTTGCTGGAGATCACGTTCCAGCAGAAACTATTCACAGCCTCACACGGGAAGCCGGCGTTCACCCTGATGCCCTGCGTTGATTAGCTCGGCCGCTTCCAGGAACTCCAGCCAGCACATCCTGGATGGGAACGCTCAACTCGAGACTCCAGGCTGGATAAGCACTCCAGTGCGGAGCCTCGGGACAGGTGGTCCAGGTTTATGAAGTTAGGCTGCACGATGGTGTCTCGCACTCACGCCATTCACATCAAAATCATAGAGAACGTCAGCACTGATCAGAGAGGTCCAACGTTACAGCCACGTTTCCCGCTCTGTCAGCGCTGAAGACGGCGTCGTAGGAAGCATAGACACGTGAAGTGATGTGATACGATGAAGGATAACGTGACAGCAGTCGGCTCTGTGAACATTTGTTCGATACACTGAAACACAGATTTCTCTGAAGAGCTCAGGAACAAATGTCCATGCAAAGCAAACCTGCGTGGAAGATGGCTCCACCCACCCATCCATCCTTACGAGTGTCAGCATGATGCAGCATTCAGATATCTGTCCCCCCATCCTCTGCCTGTTTCCTTCCACACCTTCAAACCAAAGAACTAAACGAATCAGTCATTACTTTTCTCCAGTTTTCACTGGTGAAACTGTGTTAGTGTTGTGTGTGAAACGCTGAGTCCACAGTCACTGACTGTCTCAGGCAGGCTCAGTTCTGTCACATGAACTGGAAGTTAGAGACAAAACGTTGTTGTGCGTCTGAGTGTGGAGCGCCCGAGTGTGGAGCGCCCGAGTGTGGAGCGCCTGAGTGTGGAGCCCGAGAGCTCGGGAACAGGAACAACATGCTGAAGGACTTTAAGATGCTGTCTGTGGGTTTCAGGAGCCTGTTCTGCTCATAGTTTCCTTTCAGCGATCGTCTTTTTCATTGAACACGGAGATCCTGTGTTTCAGTGTTTCATTGCTCCAGTTCAGGGCGAGTACGTCAGAGCCGAACCACAGACGTGTCGACTCACGTTACTTAAAAACGAAGCTTCTGAAAGTTAAAACGTTTTTAAGTTCAAGACTTCTTCTTTAAACTCGTCTACCAGGATGTGGATGACTGTCCCAGAGGTTTCCTACCAACAAGACCACGACTCACCGTAGTGCGGTGCGTCCTGAGAGCGCCACCTTTAGCTTTCACTGCTCTCTTCTGTTGTAGAGTTGTCATAGAAACGCAGAGCCACGTTTGGGCGCCGCCTGCTCAGACTGACCACACAGCTGCAGCTTTGGACCTGGTTCAGAGCTGGACGGGAGACTGGAGCTGGTTGGACTGGATGCTGATTGGTTAGATCATTGTTTGGACGCGGTTCATAGATGTGGTTTGTGAGTTACTGGCTTGTAGTTGGACTCTGTGTTACGATTGTCTCGCACAGGTTTCTGGCTGGTTTTTGACTGGCTGGTCACTGCTGTTGGTTTTGGCTGATGTTGGACTGGTTTAGTACTTCATACTGGGTTGGATTGTTACTGGGATTACACACTGACTGTAATCCCAGTAACAACCAGTAAAAGCCAGTCAAGCAGTTTTGTAGTTCACAGGTGAAAGCAGAAGTCATGGATTCAGATGAGTCATTTATTATCCCAGGATCTCGTAGAGACTGACCTTCACTCGTCTTCGTCGGCCCTGCACACACACATGCACACACACATGCAGACAGACACACACAGACACACACACGCACACATGCACACACATGCAGACACACACACACATGCACACACACAGACACGCACACATACACACACACGCACACATGCACACGCACACATACACACACACGCACACACACACACACACACACACACACACACACACACTCGCACTGGTTTTACTTGAGATTCTTCAGTTTAAATAATTTAAATATATAAGTCCACTCTTCAGGTGATTTAAAGAATATGAGATTTCAACATTCATTCA